TGGTTGGGGCTAACGGAGATCTCTGGGGTCTTATATCATAAAAATACTGTACACGTAATGGTCATAGAGCAAATGAGAAATCAAGAGACGCACTATATTATGAGCTGATTTATTTTCTTATTTCCTTTATTTGCATCTTCTCTTTTTTTCATCATTTCCTCTCTGTATGTTTCGATCTTACTCATACCTGTTGCAACATACATAACACACCACAACAAAGTCAGTCTGGACCTGCAGCGACACCAGGGGGGGCCATATGAGTCACTGATGCTTTACTTCCGTTTCTCTGCTCCGGGGAAATTGAATCTTTTCTCCAGCTTAAGAAAGGTCATACAGTGAGTGGTATTCGCGCGCCCCATCGCATTGGGTTCCAATACACTCAAGGTGGAGTATTGTGCACAGAGGAAGTCGACCCAAGAACCCACTTGGTCTGTTATGATGTGATAATGTGAAAAATAGTTGTGTAATCCTTATGACTCATGGATTTAGTTCAAATTTTATACAGATACTATTTTACATGCTAATTAAGGGTCTGCGTTCACAAATAAAAAAATCGAATAATTATGGTAAACTAATGACCTTTGAAATACCGAAATTTATTTGGAATATTTAAAAAGTCAATTAAGCTGTGCCCTTAAGTTTTAAATAACTTTAATAAACATTTTATTAAAAATATAGACTACCTTTACTTTACATATATATATATATATATATATATATATATATATATATATACATATGCAAGTAAATGCTGTAGGTGTACGTGATCTAGGTATATACAATAAAAGAAAAGAAAACACAGAAGTTCCCAAGCGCTTTCGTGTAATTCACAGTCGCATGGTTATCATACCTATATATATATAAATATATATATATATATATATATATATATATATATATACATATATACATATATATATATATATATATATATATATATATATATATATATATATATATATATATATATATATATATATATATACTATATATATATTTCATTAACAATAAAGCATGCAGACTTTACATACAATCAGCACCTCAATCACTTGGATAGAACCCACCCACAAGCCCACGACTGTGACCAGGGTATGCTACCTCTGGACCACCAGGATACTAAAAGCAGTCCTAGACTCTGTTATATTTCACACAAAGCCTGTTCAACGAGCTTATGGCGCCGTGAACCTCTAATGGTAGTCCCCATTAGAGGTTCACGGCGCCATAAGCTCGTTGAACAGGCTTTGTGTGAAATATAACAGAGTCTAGGACTGCTTTTAGTATCCTGGTGGTCCAGAGGTAGCATACCCTGGTCACAATCGTGGGCTTGTGAGTTCGAATCCTGGCGGGTTGAGGTGTTGATTTTATATATATATATATATATATATATATATATATATATATATATACATACACGTTAGATTTCAGTTTCCATAAGATGTCATTTTACGTCAAAAATAATCCTGACCAAATTAATACCTCGCTTTTCTGCATTTGGAATCATATCATGGATTATGTTCAAATTTAATACAAAGGTACTGCTTTACATGCTGATTAAGGATCTAGATTCACAATGTAAAAATTCGAGTATTTAGTGTTAATTAATGACCTTTGAATTAATTAATGATATTTAAAAAGTTAATTACGCTGTGCCACAAGTTTGAAATCACCTTTATGTACATTTTCTTAAAAAATATAGACTATCTTTACTATAAAAACACGGTTGTTTTCACTTTCCCCAAAAATATCGATTTACGTAAAAAATACGCCTGTTTTCTGCACTTAGGGTAAAAAAATGATTCTGTTTACATTTCATAAAAAGGTACTACTTTACATACTCATTAAGAATTTTAGTTCATAATTTAAAAATTAAAGTAGTTAGTGTTAATTAATTATCTTTGAAGTAATTAAAGGTATTTAAAAAGTCAATTATTCTATGTCCGTAAGTTTTAAATCACCATATTATACATTTTCTTAAAAATATAGACCATCAGGGTGTAAACATGAGGGAGTGTGATAATATATGATGCAATTTTACTCTATTTCGCTACATTTCACGGCTATCGTTACAGTTCAATATATCTGGAAGTCCTTACATGCATTGCGTTAGGATGATTGCTTCTGATGTTGGAAGAAAATGTAAAAGTCTTTTATACCAGTTGTATGTACTGTATACACGAGTGGATTCTCTTTATCTCTTCCTTATTTTTTGTATATATATATATATATATATATATATATATATATATATATATATATATATATATATATATATATATATATATATATATATATATATATATATATATATGTGTGTGTGTGTGTGTGTGTGTGTGTGTGTCGCAAAATGATAAAAGGGTATAAAGAGATAGTAAATAGCACATTTTCATATATACACACACACATATATACAGTATATGTGTGAACGTGTAAAAGGTCTGTGAGTTCCTTTGCCTTGTATTCAGTCTCAAATGTTACAGTTACATTTTGTCTTGTGTGTTCTGTTCCCCATTCAACGTCAAAATTGGTCGAGATGTGATTGCCAGATTGCTGCCGCTCGCTGCACGAGGCGAAACGATAACACACCAAAATTTAGGCAGTCCCTACTATATAGTCTAAATTTTTTCTTTGTCTGTTAACATAGGAGCCGTAAAGAGTGAATCGCTCACTCAAATGCTGGGTGATCAAATGGGGCATCCATTATTATACCGTAGTCACTGTGTACACTCTCCCCAAAAATGTATCGGCCCTTTCCTCATCGATACAATGTGTTCACACTGGACGAATATTTCCGATCACTAATTGTGATGCCTGCATTATGTTGGTAGGCCAGCCTGCCTTGTAGCTGTGAGGTTGCCAGTTATCATTTCTGGCATTTGTTGTAATTTTGGTGAATCACCGTGTTCCATCTCTAGTAGAATAATATAACGATATTAATGTAGCGAAAATATATCAACTGCAGTCAAATAGTGGGTGTTTTATGCTGGAAATCCATGACCAACACTAGTACCCGAGACTCATTGGAAAACACAGCCTGCACCGACAGACATGGAGAAATGTCACTTTCCGAGTAACGGTAAAGCTATAAATCAATGATTGTTAGCATCATGTTTACCTCATTGCTTAGGCCTATGACATGAAGGGCGATGATACTGCCTCGTGTTGCCTGCGTTGTCTCCATAGTGACTATCAATCCCATGGGAGGACTTGACGACATGGTCTCATAGTGTGTATCAGATAATGTTCCGTTGCCAGCACGAATCAGAAGATGATACGTTATATTCATAATTGTTACCTCATCAATTGAGGTAGAAATAATATCGAAATGCAGCAAATCATAATGTTATTGAAATTGGACATGGCATCATAATACACCTGTAATTACTATATTTGCAAATGAATGTAATACCGGATCATAGTGTTTCATATTTCGTTCGAAGCGGTTCCATTGTAACCTCGGTTTATAAAAACATAGTAACAGTATATTCATATTTGGCAACCATCTCCTGGGGCTGAAATAGTATCTAAGGTGCACAAATCAGCGGAGTTAACTCATGACGTTATTGGTTTTGCATATGGTATCATAATTCATCCTATTTCATTTCATTACATTATGTAGACAATAGGCGGTATACTGTAGATATCACGATGATTATCAGGTGCAAGAAGAAAGAACGAAAGGTGCAACTCACAGTCAGAAATACCAACCGAACCGAGACTGTTGTGCACGTGTTATTGTGTTCATTTCCAAATACATCAGGCCCAGGGGTGCCGATACTTTTTGGGGAGAGTGTACACTGTTGTCCGGTCTGTGTCTCAGTGTACCATCATCCTTGTTGGCAGTGGCCAGCACGGAAATTCCTCGCTTAATTATCTTTGTTATTCGTTGACAGGTAATTAACAATAACACCTGTCCAGGTAACTATTGATAACCTAACACTTACTGAGGGAAGTAATGATGATTTAACCTGTGTTTGGTATTTATTGATAAGCTAATACCAGATAAGGTATTTACTGATGAAAACTCCAGCTAGGAGTTGACTTATTCACATCTACGTTGGAATACTACAGTGTGAGGCAATATGTTGGCCGCACACTTTGTTATTCACATCAGCGTGAGAAGCATTCAAATACATTGTATTTTTAGACATAGGAACTGACTTTCTTTCTAGGTGCAAAAGAAGTGGATACAATCTTGATATATCATTTATCTTGCCATTAAAGATAAAGTTGTTGTGCCGTTTAACACACAGTGTACTTGGACCTGTTCCTTAAAGGTTTCATCTTCTAACACTCTAGGATGTTGTGTTCGAGTGTGTGGCCATATGTCTGGCCATACTCTTTGTATTTAGTTTTGTTCACATTTGCTTAGTCTACAGGTGTGGATGGTGTACGTGTGGGCGGTGTAGGTGTGGGCGGTGTATGTGTGGATGGTGTAGGTGTGGGCGGTGTTTGGTGTGGGTGGTGTAGGTGTGGGTGGTGGTGTTGGTGTGGGGTGGTGTAGGTGTGGATGATGTGGTGTGGGCGGTGTGGGTGTGGATGATGTGGTGTAGGCAGTGTGTGGGTGATAAAGGTGTGGGCGGTGTGGTGTGGGTGATAAAGGTGTGGGCGGTGTTGGTGTGGGTAATGTAGGTATGGGTTGGTGTATGTGTGGATGGTGTAGGTGTGGATGATGTGGTGCGGTGTAGGTGTGGATGGTGTAGTGTGGATGATGTAGGTGTGGGCGGTGTAGGTGTGGATGATGTAGGTGTGGGCGATGTTGTGTGTGGGTGATGTAGGTGTGGGCGGTGTAGGTGTGGATGATGCAGGTGTGTATGGTGGAGGTGTGGATGGTATAAGTGTGGATGATGTAGGTGTAGGTGTGGATGGTATAAGTGTGGGTTGGTGTAAATGTGGGTGGTGTAAGTGTGAGTGGTGTAGGTATAGGTGTGGGAGCGGGACAGAGGCAGTGTGTGGCTGGCGGTGGTCGGGGAAGGTTGTGTGGTGGTGTGTGTTCTTCCTTGTGGTCCATAAGTTCACGACTCACAAAAATTTCACACACAATGTTTTCCTCTTAATCTGGGTTATATACCTATACCGTAGAGACTCGGTGACACTTTGATGTCAGTGAGGCTAACGTCTGAGAATTTGAGGCTAGAACGAGCCTCTCATATCTAGTACAATTGTTATATTATAAAGTAACTGGCAATTCTCTCATTTTTACACAAATAAATGATGTGCTGTGATGAGACAGTGATCTGTGTATTGGGTCTCGTGACATCCGTGGCCGCGAAGTTTCTGAAACGTGTACTTCTTTTAGTGGTTTCATAAGTTGAATCGACAGCTCTATGAATGCCACTTCAGATTCGCTTGACTGACTTATCTGCTTTGAGGATAATGTTTTATACTGCGACACGAAGTATAGAACCCGTGTACGAGGTGATACCGCCCAGGAATATGATAATATGATAACATACCCAGTTTACACTTACAAATTCAAACATCATGTCAAAAGATAAGTTAATTTTTATATTGACATTGAGTTTTATTTGCGTTATTATCATGTTATTAGCCAACAAAATCAATTTATCTACCGATAAATTTTGAATATATGGTTCATCAACTTGACGCTTGTGTCCCAGTGTGGAGAAGAGTTGGTCACAAGGCCCGGCAGAGGCAGCTCCTCTTCTCTCAGTTCCGGTATACAGTGACGTCATACACGAAGTCACTCACCGGTAACTAATCACGATATTTTTTTTTGGTTGGCAGTTAATTTTATGTGCAATGTATTACAGTGTTTCTTTGGTAATATTAAATAATGTGACCATCATCTGGGTAAGAATTGGTGAATGTTTGTATGTAAATTAAGGGAAATATCTAGTCCTTGACCAAACAGTCCATAGCTAGTGCTCGACTGAGTTAAAAATGGGCACACTGGTGGAGTTACATCTTGACGTTATTTATGTCAATTAGTTGAAATCAACGAATAAAATGGAACTTTAAATCACCAGGTACGAGCAATGTTATGAACTTTGGGGACACCTGACCATCTCTCTCTCTCCCAGGTCATTTGTTAACGTTACCTATTTACATAATTTGAAGAAAACTTTATTTTTTTGGTGTTAATATATTTTCTCTTTATTGCAATATATTAAAGGGAATGATATAAAAAGGTGTTAACACTCACGAAAGGATTGAAGTTGTATTTAAAGCTAATTTGTTGTTGTTATAATTCTTTTGTGATAGCACTAGTAAGCTCTGATCTGATTGGTTAGCTTAATGCTGTGACGTAATATTTTCCTAGCACCTCCCTTTCTGTCTGTCTGTCTGTCTGTCTGTCTGTCTGTCTGTCTGTCTCGCCCTATGCTGAAAAATAACAGGAGTTAATGATGTTAATTCTGTTATCTGTTATTTAAAAGGCATTATTTATTTATCTTTAATCCATTACCAAACATTTCTTATTATAAAATTATGGAAATAAACATCTCACCAAATTCAGGTGTGACTATACAAGTGTTACTGACCAAGTGTTACTGACCAAGTGTTACTGACCAGGTGTTACTATCCAAGTGTTACTGACCAAGTGTTACGAACAAAGTGTTTCAGACCTAGTGTTACTGACCAAGTGTTACTGACCAAGTGTTACTGACCAAGTGTTACGAACAAAGTGTTTCAGACCTAGTGTTACTGACCAAGTGTTGCTGACTAAGTGTTACTGACCAAGTGTTGCCGACTAAGTGTTACTGTGGTGTTTATACAGTGCTTTTTTTTTTAGTTAGTCGCGATGATTGTGGTGAAGAGTATTCCCACTGCCCAGGTTCATCACTTTCTCGTCACCATTATCCTCGCCGATACTTCAAAGTACATTCGTACTTTTCTATGAGCCAAACTATTCAGCGAGTTTCCTAATAATACTGATGGATGAGTAGAGTTTTCTTAAGCACCAGAATACTTACTATGATTTCCTGAAGCATTTGTGCAACTTTCACGTTACTTGCTGTCGTCAGAGGTTTCTGTGTATTTATTTATTTTCTCTCACTGGATCATTGTGCTTTTTGGAAATTTTGTGTAAATCGTCTCAACCCTTATCTAAAAGAGAATTAGTTACGTTTTTCAAAGGTTTTACACAGGTTAATGTTTTTAATGAATCCCCTTTTCCTTGTACTCTTCAAGGGCTATTGTGTAAACTACCAACGAACATTGATGATAAACGTAAATTGAAATTCAACATATGTTGATTTTAATGTCGTATTGACCATGTAGAGATTGTGTTAAAGTGTAACTGTTGCTACAATGCACACACGCCCACACACACACACACACACACACACACACACACACACACACACACACACACACACACACACACACACACACACACACACACACACACACACATGTTACAGGCAATCTATAAAATAGTTGTAAAAGTGTTCCGTTTCATGTTGTGTATAATTTAGATTTGAATATTCAGCTAAGATCTGTGTAGATAATAACGCAGCCATGGGTAGGTAGTAGGCCAGCCATGGGTATAGGTAGTAGGCCCAACCATGGGTATAGGTAGTAGGCCAGCCATGGGTATAGGTAGTAGGCCCAACCATGGGTATAGGTAGTAGCCAGCCATGGGTATGGGTAGTAGGCCAGCCATGGGTATGAGTAGTAGTATGGTATGGGTATAGGTAGTAGGCCAGCCATGGGTATAGGTAGTAGGCCCAACCATGGGTATAGGTAGTAGGCCCAACCATGGGTATAGGTAGTAGGCCAGCCATGGGTATAGGTAGTAGGCCCATGGCTTATAGGTAGTCGGCCCAACCATGGGTATAGGTAGTCGGCCCAACCATGGGTATAGGTAGTAGGCCAGCCATGGGTATAGGTAGTAGGCCAGCCATGGGTATAGGTAGTAGGCCCAACCATGGGTATAGGTAGTAGGCCAGCCATGGGTATAGGTAGTAGGCCAGCCATGGGTATAGGTAGTCGGCCCAACCATGGGTATAGGTAGTCGGCCCAACCATGGGTATAGGTAGTAGGCCAGCCATGGGTATAGGTAGTAGGTCAGCCATGGGTAGGAACAAGATACATAGCAGGCGTGAAGTGTAGAAAGAGGTCGGCAGTGTTCTGTGGTAATACATGTCCAGGGCTTAGTATTCATGAGTGTAGGTGGAGGAGACTGCTCATCATCACCACCACCACCACCTCTTCCCAAAACCTCCCTGTCTCCCTGGTTGTACCTTCTCCTAAATGAATAAAACATAAGTCTTACACGAATGATAAAAACAAAATATACTCTGAACATATACCGTATTTTATGAAGTCTTTGTATATTCAAGAGATTTTATATACATTTATTCAGTAGTTTAGGGCACAATTTTCTGTATGTTCCACTGTATATGGAGGTGTAAGTTTGAGGAGGAAAAGTGGTTGATAAATTGAATCGTCGAGTAGAGGAGGGGAAGATGTATTAGGTGCTCCGAGGAAAGACTGTGTCGCATGAGGCAGTGTTGAGATGTGCAGGGGAATAATTGATCTGACATATTAACATACAGGGGTGAAGTGTACAGGAGACTCTAGCTGCATGAGGAAGGGATGAGGAAGACACGGGGGAAATTATGTACTTGAGAGTATTATGTAAAGTGAACAGAACGGAAAAAACAATGAAAAGTGTATCAGATGTCTCTCGAAGTTGAGGAGTAACTTGGCCACGGCTCCCTGTGTCAGACTCATAAAGGAGTTTGCCATTGACCTGATCTTACCTCTCACTCATATATAGAACAGGTCTCTCAAGGAAGGACATGTTCACTCCGTCTGGCGTCAAGCAACCATCATACCAATACCTAAGAAATCAAAACCCGACACCTTAGACCCGTCAGCCTTACTCCCACTTTCAGCAAGATCCCTGAAGGTTTTGTAGCACCATCTATGTTTCTGCAGCTTCCTTAGCCACCGGTCGCAGAGAGTTGGGAAGTTTAGCGAGTGGAGCGGAAACAGGTGGTGCGCCTCAGGGTACTCTGTGTGGACCCATTGCCTTCCTGGTGCTGCGAGAGGCTCCCACAGACGTCTCAACAGGTCACGCAGGATCTCCAGTCCTGGGACTCAGAAAGGAATATGGTCATCAACATACAAAAGTGACAAATTATGCACATATTTGCCAGCAAGAAACCCCTTATCTACCCGGATATAACGAAAGCCAACACCAACATTGCGGTAGTGAGCAGTTGTAAACTGCCCAGGGGAAGACCACGTCGATAGTATCACCACAAAAGCAGCCAAAATTTTTCATATGATCTACATCCTAAGATAATTTAATGTGCCCGCCATAACAACTGATGAAAGCATACGTCACCTACAGCCGACCCATCCTGAGATACTGTTGCTCACTCCTCCACGCCGGGCTCACACTACAGCAGGCGAAGCAGATAAAAGGGATTCAGCGTCGGGTAATGAAAATAGCAGTGGGTTGGGACACCAGGTACCAAAATGCCCTTGACATGTTCGAGCTGACTACATTGGGACAGAGGCGCGAGGTCCTGAACCTGAAGTTCGGGCGCGGTCGTATTGGCAGAACCACGACATCGCGACCTGCTGCTGGAGGTCAGTGTCAGGGTAACACGGGGCTCAGATCGCTGTCAAACCTTCTGCTGCGGTGCCAAACTCAGGGAATCGTGTGTCCAATATATTATATCCAAACTTAATTAACTTTATTTGTAACCTAAATTGCAATATGAAATATTGTAATTCATGTACCCAGAACTTAACCCTTTATGTGATCATTATTGGGTAGAGAGCTTAACATTGACTTGTGTAATTGTGGTGGTTTTATCCAACCTCATATCAGCATTTATGTAAACCTGTGCTTTACGTGCCATACACCGCCAGTAATGTTTATCAATAAATTGTTGTCTCTGGCTCTCTCATTGCTAATGTAGTCGGGGCAGCCAGTCAAACACTGTGTGGTGCCGTCACGGTGGACAATGTGTGCGGCAGGATAAACAGCACGACGAATACCCTCCGGGACCGGAGCTTGCGACTGGACGTCGTTCTGTGATGTCCTTCTCACACACCAGTGGGACTCCTTTTGGTCGTGCGTCCTCTGCTCTTATTTGCTGTTGCCTGATACTGTCCTGGAGGGTTTGGACAGTCAGACGCCTCCATCATTGATGAGCGATCCATTAACAGATCTCCAACGAAGCTGGGATTGGGGGGGGTATAGCATCGCCATTAGAGTTTTGACCATGTTGACGTTATTCATCAAGGGGAAAATTCACTATGAAACATATGTGTCATTGACACATGGAACATCATAATTTTTTTTAACAATTACCGAGACACAGTAAACAAGGGACACTACCAACCTAGTTGCAGTACTTCGGATCCTTCCTAAAAGCAGAGGATTCACACTTTTATATTACTGTAGTGACCAGCAGTTGTGTGACCAATTATACCATATCTGACTTACATATCAGTCAGACAAACTGAGGAGACGCAGGCAACGCAAACTCGCTAATTTCACACTGAAAAAATCCTCATTGAGAAATTTGACGGAGTCACATACACGCGGTGGCTCCCTCCCTCTGCTTTCAGCTGTCGCAAATATATTTGACCCACAGTCAGCCACTCAAACATTCAGGCAGGGAAAGTGCCATGCAGATAAGCAAACAGGCCAGGATGTTTGAAGGTAAGCAAACTGGAAAGCAGGCACACAGACTGACAGAAGAGGGGAAACACGCAGACAGGGAAA